AGACTTTGATGAGGTCGAATTCGTAGGAGAAATGAACGCTTGTGTTGATGATTGTCAACTTGGTGGTCGTTCTGCTTGTGCAGCTGCATCGTAAGAGATGATGCCGTCGGCCTTTTCATGCTTTTTCTCAACTTTGGAGTTGTTCTGCCTGTGCAGCTGTGTCGGGCTTGCGAGAGATGGAAAGGTTCCACAGATATTATCAAGCAGTACTGGTAGGCCTATAGCAGAGTTCAAGAAGTTCAAGAACAACATTTGATTCGATGGGTAAGCCATGGTACTGCATGACCTCTCAAACCGCTCAGCTTGTCCGTTTAGTGCCGTGCAGCTCCTTTCGAAGCGTTGACAACTCAAAATGAAACGTTTTGAGGTTCTGGACAATCTTGACACCACCTGACACCCAAGGTGACTGCTGGGCATCTTTTGATCCAAACAACTTTGACAGGGCTTCCACACAGACCGAGTTTGCCAATTCGGAAAGTAATAGCTGTAAGGAAGTAAGGAAGTCAAGTCTTTGTTTTGGTGAGTTCCTTATGTTCGAGGGGGGCTCCAATGTCTGGGGCGCTCCTCCTACCTGGATCGTGGATTCCCTTTCCCTTTGTTTGCTTGCTTGCTTTGCTAGTGGAGTTGCATGCCACACGTCTTAAACCCATGTGTTTCATTTGTTCGCCCCTGTGACCACCAAGAAGTCTTTGTGCGTAATTGTCAGCATTTGTTGGTCTACAATGTCTGGGTGTTGCCTCACAGCTGCAACCATTCACCAGGCTTCACACGCTGCGTGTGCTCAGATAAGGCGAGCATGGCCACTCCCAGACAAGGCCGTAGCAGCTATAGTAGCAGCCTGTAGCAGCACACAGCCTCTAAGATTCGGCAGTGGGAAAAGCTAACGCCTAACGCAATCATCAAGGCTTCTTGCATCCTTCACCCGATTCTCCACCGGGTCGACCCTGTTGCCTCCTTGTTTTTTTTTTTTTTTTTTTTTTCGTAGGATCACGTGTGGCGTTGAGGTAATCATCAAGATTGAGAGGCATCTCAACAGCACTGAAAGTTAGTTGAACGTTGTACCAGGGGCTATCAAGACAAGTACAAGTCCCCATGCCCTCAATGAGTACACAGAGGTGGCCACAGCTGCAACAACCTGCCAGGCCGTGTTTGGTGGACATTTGTTTCGATATCAAATAGGAGAAGCTTTCACCAACAGGTTTTGTGTTTGGTGGAAGGTTCAGTCACTTGGTCAGTGGCTCGGCGCCGCTGAGGTCCTCACCACAGTGCGGCAAGATGTGTCCGCCTTGCAATTTCCTGCTGCAGCTCTCAAGGAGGACAAAGAAGTCGCCTCACGGCTGCATCAACGCGTGACCCACGGAGCACAGTGGATGAGAGGATATATTATATTAGACGTTACTGAATCTTGGAGGTTGGGAGCCGGTTTGGAGAGGGTAAACCTGCCTTGAGATGAGATGGGGTTAGGTGAAAGCTGCTCCTACTTGGTCGAAACAGATTTGAGAGAGTTGTCCAAATCAGAACTCAAGAACTTTTGGACTTGTTGGCAAAACATGCGTTGGTGGATCTGGCCTGCTCGGACTTGTCTTAAAACAAGCGCTGGTATACACAACTTTAAACTAACTTTAATTGCTTCACAGAATCGAAACTCTTAAGTCAGCAGGACTACACGATGCACTTGAAGTGACTGTCACAACTACCATGCTCCATACCGTTCTCAACTTCTACACCTCAACAATCGGATCCGAAGTGCCTGGTGGATTCTTTGCATGGGTGAAGCAAACGATCACAACAATCGAACTCTTGGGAGGTTGGAGGCACACAGTCTGACGCATTGATGCAGCCGTGAGGCGACTTCTATGTCCTCCTTGAGGGCTACTGCAGCGAATTGTAAGATGCAAGACGGAACCATTTTGCCGCACTGTGGTGAGGACCTCAGCGGCGCCGCGCCACTGACCAGGTGGCTGAACCTTCCACCAAACACAAAACCTGCTGGTGAATGCTTCTCCAATTTGGGATCCAAACAGATTTCAGAGTGTTGTCCAAATCGGAACTCAAGAACTTTTGGACTTGTTGGCAACACACACACACACACACACACACACACGCGCGCACTTACTTGATGCGTTGGTGGACCTGGCCTGCTGGGACTTGTCTTAAAACAAGCGCTGGTATCTACTGTTTTAAACCAACTTTAATTGCTTCACAGAATCGAAACTCTTAAGTCAGCAGGACTACACGATGCACTTGAAGTGACTGTCACAACTACCATGCTCCATACCGTTCTCAACTTCTACACCTCAACAATCGGATCCGAAGTGCCTGGTGGATTCTTTGCATGGGTGAAACAAACGATCACAACAATCGAACTCTTGGGAGGTTGGAGGCACACAGTCTGACGCATTGATGCAGCCGTGAGGGTGTCAATGGAAGCCCGATCAGCTCACTCTCAGGCTTGCCTGGAGCAGCTTCAAAGCCGAGGGCTTGGTGCAGCTGCGTTGCATCTGGGTTGGAGGAATCAGGGGGTGGAAGTGTTGTGGAATCCACCGTGCACACGGGGTGCTCGGCCGGAGGAATGATCCCAGAGAATCAGCAGTTTTCTCCCAGAGAATCATCGCCTCTCTGGAATGTTGATGTCTTTTTCCAAAAAAAGTGGAGGGACCGGACCCTCATGGTCTGGTGTGGGGGCTTCAGGTGCTAAGCTCCAACTAAATGATATACCGTTATATACATATATATATATATTGATTGAATGATATTGAATATTATTTGACCCTCCGAATGCAGGATGTAAGTTACATTTCATCCTCTCCCCCCTGCTAATTTGTGGCGATGATTTTGAATATTGTGTGAATTTATATATATATATATATACTATAATATATGAAGATGGTGTTTGCGTTCAAGAAAAGCCGATTCTATTTTTTACTCAGACCAATGGGTTCGTAGAAAGGGACAAGGGACCCGTGAAAGACCTTTGAGACATCTCTTAAAGGACCGGTTTTAAAGACTTATATAGACGACTTAGACCGGTCAGTTTGTAGAAAACCAGGATGAGTTGCAGTTGTCTTCTCAAGTGGATTGAAGGCCGATGAACCCTCCAGACTTAAGACCTTAGGACCAAGCTTTCTCCGAATCATATTTGTCAGGTAAGGATTCATGTGCAAACGAGTTACGTTGGTAGTTCTTCCAGGATCACCTCAGCCATCAGCACGTCTTTTTCAAGATAAGTTTAGGCGTCTCGAAGTATCCTCAGACTCGCAGACAATCTCCCAGATGTGTACAGGAGATGTGCAAAGACTTCAGGGTATTCTGAACTGAGAAAACACATATAATCATATACTGTATGATGCACTTCTCATTACATGATATTACATGTATATGATACATATATATATATGGTACTCCCCCCCAAAAAAGAAAATGTTCACCTGACTTTTGCTGGTATTTGCAATATTTTGTGTCTATCTTTGGAGGCCTTTTGGACCTTGGTTTTTGGGGGTACCATATATATATTGTGCAGGTAGGTTACATAACTTGTTTGTCCAGAGATTCTAAATTCCGACATGTTACTGTAAATAACTTTGGAAGGAATGCATTCTGAATGCATCGAAACCAAGCTCCAAGATCCAAGATTCCCACAAGACTCCTGGCTAAAATCTTGGATTGATACAGTGATAAGGATGTTCTGGCAAATCCCAAATCCAAGATTGTCCACAAGACTTCTGTACAAATCTTGGATCTTGGATCTTGGTTTTGGGAAGGAATGCATTCTCTGGCATTCTCTGGTAGTGACAAAATTGCACTAAGTACATTTTGATCCTGGAATATTACTGATTGCCGACATTTGTTCCTCATTCAGTTCTAATTAACAACTAATTCAACTCTAATTTACTTCTTTTCTTATTCTAATTTAAAATCACTTGTATTTCTACTTAAATTTCTAATTTGAGTCTAATTGAAGTCTAATTGAACTTTAAATGGATTCTAATTTGAGTATGTAGTTCTACGTTAAGCCTAAGTTGAGCCTAATTGAATTCTACTTTAAGTCTATTTAGCTTAACTTCATTGTATAGACAAATTATAAATCAGTTTTTATTCTAATTTACTCATTTCTATTTTAATTCTAATTATGTTTGGCTATTTTTAGATCTAATGCAATTCCAACTTGAATCTAAATTTGAATCTGCAACGTGCTTCTCATGCAAATAGTAAATGATCCTAATTGAGCTTTATATAATTGAAATGAAATTGAGATTGCAAATTAGATCTAGTTCAAGTCTAATTGAACTTAAATTTAAATTCCAATTTAATTCTAAGTCAATACTGTTCTACTAACCAAGCTCTAGGTAAAACAACTCTAATTCAATTCTACCTTAGTTCCAAGTCAATTTCAATTTAAGTAATGGATTCTTATTAAATGTTTTTCATTCAACTCTAATTTAATTTCAGTCTACTTCTAATTTAGTTCTATTTCATTCTATTTTGGGTTCAATTGTAACTTTGACTCTTCCAATTTACTGATACTCCGCTGGGAAAATTGATGAGGTGACTTTTTTTATTGCGCCAGGTTTAGGTATCAGGGGCATTCAGGTGTGTTGCGCCATCTATGCGCCCCGTGGCTTAAAAAAAACAGGAAGATTCTGCATGATTTTGTGTGCTATTTTGCAGAAAATAGCGGAGATTGGGACCGCTCCATCTATTGCCCCACCGCAAAAGGACATCAAAAGGAAATGAATAAGTTCAAGAGGCAAGAGGAAATCAAGAAGAAGAAATATGAGGAAATCACTATTGGTACCGGGCCACCAAATGTACAGAACTTGGCCATTGGGCCATCTATAGGCCCCAAACGTTTTTGGGGAAATAGGGAAAACTAGTATCCGCACAGACACCCCGCAGAATTTTAATTTTCTGCAATCCAAAGACCAGTTGCGCCATCTATGACGGCCAAATAGCAAAAGGAGTTACGTGGCGCGGTTGTTCCCGCTATTTCTTTTTTTGAGTTGCGCCAACAACTTTCTGACCGGTGTAATTAATTTCTAATGGTAATGCCTTTTTACGGTTCAGATTCAATTGTTTTACGCATCTAATTTTACACTATTGTCATTGCAAATTAGGTTTGGTTTCTATATGTCTAATTTCATCCTATTTTGATTCTAGTTCAATGCACATGGAATTCTAATTCAGTTTTGGTGTCATTCTAGAGAGTGGGTGTTGTTGGTGGTGAATTTAATTCAGTTAAGAAAGCGAATGCTTCTATATTGGAAAAACTACATAAAATCTCTCATGTTCAAAGTAACACCACTTCTCTAGAAGTACATGAGAATTTCACTCAAATTAAAACTAAATTGAAAAATACACTATTAGAATTGAATCTGCCTTGTATAGCAATGAAGTTAGAATTAGCTTGACATAGAATTAAAATTAGGTTTGCATTGAATCCCAAGTAAATTAGAATCTATAGTGATAGACAGTTGAATCAAAATGGAATTTACAAATAATTGAAATAGACTCAAATTTGAATTTGAATTTACAGAGTAGAGTAGAGTTGAATAGATTGGAGTATTTAATTATTAAGGGTTTGCAATTCTTTGCCTTCTGGTTATGATGTACTTGCTCAACTGCATTCAATAAGAGCAGTACAATTCACACCCTAAAAACAAGACATATGGTTTTGCATGGGGGTTGCAATGAATTAGATTACTCCATCCAAGAACTGTTTAGTAAACACATAACCTTATGGATTTGGACATTTTTGTAGTACATAGTTAAATGAACAAATATGCTTACCAACTGCACACCAGCACTCAGAAACAAGGTTTTTTTGGGGGGGGGCTAGCATATATAGATATATAGACATACAATATAATACGATATACATCTGGGACTGCCAGAGTTGTTCCCGGAATTGTGATCAGTGAGGCCAAGGAGTTGCAGCCTTCACCGTGGATGACAACATCACCTTGGTCACTCAGCGATCCACTTCGGCGGACTACCCACTCCCCTTGGTGACGTTCTGGAAGACATGAAACTCTCACCATGAAACTATCGGAGTTTGTGTTTATCTGAAGACATTTCTTTTGGGAGAAAGCCCCAAACCAGGTCAACCTAAGCGGACTCAGGTTGGATGTATGATGGTTTGAAGATCCTGGTTTGGATGCAAGAAACATGTCAAAAGGTAGGAACATAGGGGGACAGACCGTCCAAACCTCGCCAGCACACTTCCAGGAAAAAAACACAATATCCAGATAAATTTGGTGGATAATATATGTTTTCTATTGTTTTTCTGATCCTTCAAGTCCCTCCAAGGACTCAACGATTTTGGAGCCACTTGCTCTGGAGGGATGTTTGATGTTTTTTTTGATTTCTCATGCAGGTGGGTGATCTCTACTTTGCTCAGCTTCCGCCACATCCGGCCACTGGACGCGCAAAGATGGGGTTTCCTAGGTGTTTTCACACCAGTCAGACAGTCAGAGCACCAGGCATCCTACCTGACCGAAACACCGTTTCAGGGAGGCGCCACAAAGGCTCGTTTCGGGTAGTAAGCTGGTGCTTCAGAGTGGCTGCAGGTGAAATGAGGTAGCGGCTCGAAAATTGGTTGGACCCAGGCACTCTCCTTTGGTTTCTTCTAGCGTGGGATGTAGTTGTGCTTTCGAGCCGACTTGGCCCCAACAGAAACATGGTCGATGCCGGAGGTGTTCTGTTTTTCTTGCAGGTGGTGCAGCAGAGCTTGTCCACCAGAAAATGACCGGATATCTTGTCCTGTGGCCTTTGTAGTTCCCGCTTGCGGTTAAAGACCTCTGAAAGTTCGGAAAGAAAGAACAGGCCTTTGTAGTTTCTTGGACACACCCATCCCTTTAAGCGATGTGAGGATTCACAGTCTTCATAGGGTTACATGCCTAAAGTCACTTGCAAGTGTTTGGCATCGGAGAATCTTTTTCACGAGAGTGTTGTGCTTCAGTCGACAGAAGAGCTGAAACGAACTTCCTTGTTTTACTATTCAGTGACTCATGTATACTGTTGTTCCAAGTGAGGTGCACTTGAGCCCTGGCAGCCATCGACTCTCAATTCGCTTGCGGGGCAAGTTGAAAACACAGTGGCTTGGATTCCAGAGGACCGACTTGGGGAATCTCCGTCTCCGTCTCCGTGGAAAACACAGTGGCTTGAAGTAAACACCCGGGAAGAGACCCACATGGAACCTGAAAATGGACCTTTGGAATTCATCTACAACCTAGTGGTTTTCGGGTTCCATTTTAGTCTTCCCGGGCGTAAACCTCAAAATGCCATATGTTGAAACAGTGTTAAGCCGTTGACGGCGGGATCAATGAATTCTGAGGATTGAAGGACTGGGCACGAGTGGGCATGTTGAGTTCATGTCCGCGGACTACCCGACATGACTCAGGGAGCCCTGCGAATGGTGTCGAGTTGCTCTACCCTGTTTGGGTCAAAACTTGGAGACTTCTATGGCTTCAGGGGCCAATACCCTGGCACCCAATGGTACCACCCAATGGTACCACCTGGGCCGAACCTCTCCTGCCATCGGTTTCCAGCTGTTTGAGATCTGTGGCAATGGGTTGTTCTCAATCTCTTTCGATGGGAGATCTGTGACAATGGTTGGATCGTTTCAGCGCTGGAGGTTCAGTTGCCATTTGGAGAAGGTCAAAGAAACCTCTTCCAAGATACTCCTCTTTGGCGCAGCCTGGCTGCAGCAGTTTTGATTTTTGGAGCCACTCTTTGAGGCGAGCCATTCGTTGCAAGCTTTGATAGTCTCTCAAGAAGTCACCGGTGGAATGCGTGTTATTTGTAAGTCCACATCAAAACGATCGTTGACCTTGAACATATTGGCTTTGAGTGTTCGTGTAGTTGTTCAATGTTGTTCAGGAGTGTAAGATTGACCTGACGCGCTGAGGAGTCATGGGCAACACACATTTCAACAGCGTGTTCCCATCTCGATCTTTTGCAAAGCCTAGCTGAGAAAGTGGTCTCTAAGGGACGCCGGGATGCCCCCATGAGCAAGTAGTGTGTATGGCAATGCCAAGCTGAGAGCAAAGATGCTTCACGCAGCGTGTTTCCACATACCTTTGGCTGGCTGATGGTGATGTTGAGTGAACCAACACTCGCCCAAGATTATACAATTAACCTACCTTACCACCAGGACCATCCAAGGATGGGGTGTTCAATAGACTATAACTACTCCGGGATCTCTAGCCAGCACACCCTTTGGATGGTTTTCAACATGACCATGCACAAATTGCTCTCTTCACAATTCCATCGGGCTTGCCAGAGCGTTTCTTCACTCTTCCCGCTTGGCCGGTGAAAACTCTTCCTTTCTTCGCTCGAATGGACGTTCACCCACTGAACACCGGCTCCGAATTCGTTCAGCCAGCTCACCGTGGCTCACGAGTAAATCTGAGTAGATGGGCATTGCTTGGCCTAGTAACATTTGTGCATCGCAACAAACGTAGTAAGAAGCTTAACTACGTTCGTAGCTTCTTGTTACGTTCGTAGCGATGCACGAACGTTACGTTCGTAGAAGCTACTAGGAGAGCTTTCTGGCGGTTCCCGACCTCTTGGTCCTGGAGAGCGAGCCCTCCGTTGTCCATGTGTGTGGTGAGCGCCTGGCGCTGGGCGTGGCCAATCAGGCAGGGAGTTTTTTTTGCACTCAGTGAGCGGGGGAGGGACTTGTCCCCAAGGGTTGAGAGTGTATATATATATATATAATAATATTAGTATAATATATATATATATACATACGCACATACATGTATATATATATTTATTTATACATATTCGCATTCATATTGTATATTCATATTCTTCTTCAATTGCTAGTGATTTGTGAGGTCTTCCCATTTTAAGAGGTGCTGGTGTGGGGTGAAGAAGCAAAACCAAGGAGCATGTCCGTAACGAATGACCTCACCCAACTGCTTGGAGTCCAGCGTGGTTTTCGAGGGTACAGAGGTGTGACACAGGCAAGTCATTTGGAGTCAAGGGATGCAGTGTTCTCTTTTTAGAAACCTGGTCAGGATCATTCCCACTAGATCCAAAATGAGGTCCCCAACTGCTGAGATCGGGCATGCGGGGCATACTCAGCTTTGATCCCGCAATTTTGGACACTGAGGGACCTACACCTCAGCACCTCCGAAATGCCGATTTTCCAAGGTTTTTCATGAAAGGATTGGGAACGTGTCCAAAAGTATCCGAGAATTCGTGGAGTTGTTTTCATTCAATAAGCTTCTGGAAAGCTCTTTGAGGTCGACTGGTTCTCTGCCCAGGACCCATTCTACCAGTTAACCTCCAAAACAATCAAGTGGATAGCATGGACCCTCAGGAAAATCTGTGGTATGTTTTATTTGTTTCCTTGGTGTCTTCTATCACCTCAAGAGTGGACCTCAAGCAGCACAGTGTTCCAGTATGTTCCAGTCCACTTCCATGTGATGCTTCAAATTAAGGATCTGAAGGAGTGGATCACTGAGCTTCGACCGATCTTGCTATCACCCGGACGCTTGCAGCTCGGTTTCAGGGCAGGAGGCACGAGACGGCCAATTAGACGGCTCCTGGTTTGTTTGGAGAGCTGCACAGGAGACTAATCTTCTACCGCAGAGTCGCCGTGGAGTCTTTTTGTGAGCATTCATCATTAATCAATCAATCTTGGTGAACTTGAAAAGCTTGTTTTGCCATTGCTTTGCTTGCATTCACCCGGGAGGACAAACGTGTATTCTCAAGCGTGTGTTTCTTGGGACCAATGACGCAGCTACAGTTTCACTTCTTCAAGTGACGAGGTGAGTAAGGGAACAGAAACTCACCCATTGATACGTTGGTAGGTAAAACATGTGGTGCGTCCATTCCATGCAGCAAATCATGTAGACGAGCGTCCGTGGAAGATGTCGTTCCTTTTTGACAATGGGTTTGTTCCACTTCCGCTGGTCACGCTTCTCACGTTTGTCCAGCAACCAAGCAGCGTGAGTTTTTTGGCGCTTACACTCTGCCCAACCAATGATTGAAGTGGATAGCACCACTTTGTTCATCCTTCTCATTATTATTTTTCCACCAACAGGCCAGGTCTTCTTGACTTCCACTGCTGGGAGAAGGGTAGCCAGAAGTCAGCCCAGGAGTCTGGCCGCAGAGCAACCAGCGACCTCGCCCTTAGCACCGGGGCAGATGGCCAGAATTCCCGTGAACTTCGAGGACGAACATGTTTTGTGATGTGCGGGTCGTGTTGGCAGTGCAGGGCTTCTCCTTGTCCCAAAAAGCCATGCGACCTGGTAAGAGCAGGTATATCCAACAATATGTGTTTTACACACCCATCCACTTTCATGTTTGTATGACAAAGTGTACCACGATTAAACAGGTGCACGTAGCTGTTTTTGTACAAGGACTATGTCACCCTGTTTCATGGCAGTTGCAGTTCAATCCACACAATCACAGTCTTGAGAATCGCAAGAGAGAACTGAGAAGAGCACATTTCTTGAACAGTATGGACAACAATGGAGAACACGCTAAAAAGAAAAGCTTAAAGAGAAGCACGGCTTGTTTGTGTTGTCGTTTGCAGCTACCATGCCAGTGTGAGAATCATGACTGATTTGACTATAATATATATATATAGTTATATATATACCAACTGTTCTGGCTGGATGTTCTACAGGGCCCAACTCAATCGGAATCCTGAACACCGCAGCAAGAATCAGTGGTCTTGTGATACTGCTACTATCGAGAGAAGATCCACCTAGCAGGACCATCGATTTGGGCTGCCCAATGGAAGCCAGTATGGTGCACTCGGTTGGACCCTCCTTCGATGGTGGTGCTCAAATAAGGTCAGGGAGGCCTTCATGCCCGCAGGCGAATGCAGGAGCCACCTGCAACGCAGACGAGGAAGTGATGCTGGAGCTGGCGTTCGAGGGAAAAAGTTGCTTGACACCCATGTGGACGGGCAAAGGAATGAATATGGCGCCACGGGGTTCAGAGAAAACCCAGTTTGCGCCACGGGGTTCCCTGCCACCTAGGTTTCACCGCGGGCAACGGTCTCCAGTAATTGGGCGATACCAGCGGTGTTGAATTTTCATGATTTTTCCGACTGAACCAGAGAATCGGACCATGTCCGTGAAGCATTAGATCAGGCTCCATGCATATTACTTATAGTATATGATCAACTTGGTGTTTGCGCGGTTTGTGCCCCATACTTTCAATTGATTGGAACACTCAATAATAAAATACACTAAACCGGTGACCGGACGATCCCCTGGTGGCTTCGGTCACAAACAAACAGGCCTATAAGATCCCATAAGTTCGGTCATAAACAGGAACTCCAAAAGGTCACAAAATGAAGAAGTTGCCCATCGAACAGGTCGCCTTTTGCAGTGTACTCTGCATCGAACTTCAAGGCCCTTCTTCTTCAGATCTTCTCCACGTCATTGCCCCTGAACCCGCGCGGTCCTCACCGCACACGCTGGAACTGAGTCGCTGGACGAGTGCTGCGCAGTGGAGGGCTGAAGCTCCGCTTGAAGTGCCGCCACGCGAAGCAGAGCTTCGTCTTCACCTTCCAGGACTTCGACGATCTGCGATTCGAGCGGAGGGCGGAAAAAAAAACCATGCGTGTCATGTCATCACGCGCATACTACTACTACTACTACTACTACTACTCCTCCTACTACTACTACTACTACTACTACTACTACTACTACTACTACTACCTGCATATGCACAGAGAGGGTGAAAGGAGGAAGAAGAGGTGCTCTTTTGGGCTTGTTGGAGGTGAAGAGGAGGACGAGGCTAAAAACGGTAACAGTTGTAAGTTATAATATACATATATATATTCCGTTTCGATGTCGTGTGCTCTCATGACCTCACTCTGAATAAGTAGGAAGTATAAATCCATTTCAATTACTTACAGTCAAGATCAGTCAAGTCTGTTTCTGGTGAAGAAGACCATGGTCTACAAATTGCTGTGACTTCTTTGGCTCAGCTGTCCCCTTCTCCAGGATGTGGATGGCTCCACGCAACATGCGGCTGCCGTGATGCCTCAAAGCTGCAAAGGTGCTGACACCGCTGTCGAGGGCTACTCACTGTGGGTGTGGATTGAGACACATTGAACCACCCCAAAACCACCACAGTGGGCGAATACAAGACCGTTTCTGTGCTGGAATCAGCTATGAATCAGGCCATGAAGAGTTAATGAACTGGTTTGACAAAATAGATATACGCTCCAAACCTAGTGCGCCTACTATTGGAGAGAAGCAGACCTGGTCACCGAAAAGTCTTGTTGCAGGTCAGCCAGAGGCATTGGTCAGCCAGGTCAGCATATATGAACCAAATTGAACCAATATACTTCGTCATCGACAGACCTTGGAGGGAGCGCGAGTCGGAGCCGGAGGTCTCCAGTGTTCTCCATTCAACAAGGAGAATGTCTTCCGGAGCCAGCCAGCCCGGAGCCGGCCCTGAGAGTCCCTGCAGCCCCTTGCGCCGTGAGGCGACTGCCCTGTCCTGGTGACCTTGTCTGGCACCAGCATCTCTGCTCGGGACAGCTCCTCGGTGCCGGGATCTGTGTCGAAGCCAAGGAATGATAATTGTTGGGGGTGCTTTTCCAGGTGAGTCTTTGCATCAATGTGGCGGAGGCCATGGCTGTGGAGGCTTGTCTCCTTCAGGTTCCTTCACAAGCTGAAGAAGGAGGAAGCACTCGGAAGCACCCCTCTCACGAGCCCATCAGATGAAACACACCCTGTTTAACACTGATTCACTGGGAGATGAGACCCCCTGGACCTCACATGACACTGGGCCGCTTTGCTGTGCATTGGTCAACCAACATCAACCGACCCTTGAGTACATACAGGATTTGGGTTTGTCTTTTAACAGGAGACTCCCAATGGATTTAGTATATTTAGTCCAGTTTTTATTTTCCCACAGGTCTTTGGGAGGTCTCCCCATGAACATACTTACTCGTTGTTGTATGTTTTTGTTGCACAACTTGCTTGTTGTTCGTTCGTGCGTGCGTGTGTTCCGTGCTTCCGGTGGACTTCTGGGTGTCTCAAGCAGTTTGTGAAGGCGCAGTGTATCTAATTAAAGTCCTGCAAAGAAGCCAGTCAAGAGGGACACACTGTGACCGACTGGAAAGATCTATGTCTTCAATGTCTTCCACCCTCTTGGAATGACTCGACTACTAGCAGTTAGTCCACGGTCGGTCGCCATGGCCCGCAAAGTGCTTGCCCCGGACCGCGTGCGTCCGCCCGAGATCCCGCGGTGCAGCTTAGAGCTGACGAAGGTCACGGATGTGTTCCTGGACTTCGACGGGACGCTCACGACCTCGAATCATGCGGGGGTGTCTGGCTATTGCTTGCCCTTGCTGGAACGATGTGGACACCTTCGTGTTTCTGATGCCCTGGACGGGTCGGGTGTCTCAACCTGGAGCGACTTGGACCTGCGAATGGCCGCGGCGACGGGCGAGGTGGCCTTGGACTATTCTGACAGCTCAGTGCTGGGTAGCTGGGAGGTGCGCAGACAGCTGCAAGGATCCCTAGAGACTTTGGTCTTGCAGGGTTTGAGGATACATGTGCTAACTATGGGAACACCTCAGACCTGCAAGGCGCTACTGGCAGCTGGTGGCTACGATGTGAATCTCTTCAGCCATTTCCTGGGACCTGCCGACATGGCCAGGAATCAAGGCTTGCGGCATTTGTTCGACCACAGTTCGGATGTTGGCTCAGCCGAGAGCTTTGAGTTCGATGTTCAGGAAGATATCGACGCCTTGCATCATTTGGAGAAGACGGGCGAGGGGAGTCCGATTCTAGAACGCATCATGAGCATGGAGACACAACTCTACAAAGCTTCACTGATCCTCTCCCTCGCTGGCCAAGGTGGTGTTCTCGTGGACGACAATTATGCAAAGAACATTTTTGATGCCAAGACCAAAGATGTGATGTATATACATGTAGACCCTGAAGGGGTGCATAACACTAGCGCAGCCATCAAGGATTTGGCCGAATCGATTCCACGAAAAGGACGTAAAGTGCACAACTTGCTGGTCTTCTGACAGAGCAATGCAAGCATTTTGTCCTGCTCACCCTCCCCTTCTGAAAATAATAGTGTAGCTTGTTCAAACTCACGATCCAATTTGCTTTCTTTAGATGGTTTGCGTCATTGTGCCAGGCACAGACGCACACATCTATGAAGCATCCTATGATCTTTAAGATTCTTAAAGCCCCGATATATATATATATATAGGGCTGAAGTACATCTCAGAAGGCATTAAGTCCTCCAAACCCACTTGAAATGTCTTCTCAGAGGGTAGTTGGAGACCTCTAGGGAATTGCAATTACAGTCAGATTTTATGTTTCTTGGCGGTCGTTTTGGCTGAGCACGGGATCATCGGGGAATGCCCGCAATGAGAATGGCTTGGTCTGGACATGTCTGGACTGCTGGGTATGGGGAACCCTTGGCTTTATAGTATTTACATCCTTTATACCTTGTGCCCACCACACACCCACAGCAGATCCTAGCCTGTGCATCACTCCGACTAGGGGTTCTTTATTGAGTCTCCATGTCCCCGTTCCAAAGCAAATTTAAGGCGCTGATGCCTACAAGATGAAGCACAAGAAGGACAAAGACTATCGCTTCGGCTTTAAGGATGCTTGGCTTCTAGCGCCTACTCGACATGGTGCTCACAACTGGGAAGGCTGGGGCTCTGCCAGTCCGAGGATGCTTTGTGTGTGTGAGAGATAGGAAGCAAAGTTCGTCTCCGAGATATTGAACATGAAGACGCTTACTATAAATGTGAAACCGTTATATCTTTGCGGGAACATCAGCCACGCACATGCGTTGTTTGAGAGGGCAACTAGCATGGTTGTCCTGCTGTTGGAATTATTCCTGAAATGGCTGGAAGTCAACATACCAGTTGAACCTTCTTTTAACCAAAAGCCGCACCTCCTGTAACACCCTGATTCTACCTGTCGCTCTGACACATGAGCAGTAGATGTCCAATGTCCAAGCCTCTCCAAGCCAGGCTTTTTTCAGCACCACACATGCACCAACTCGTTTTTGTCCATTCTGTTCTGAGAACATTCACGCAATTCCACGTCGCACCCAACCAAGAACGCTTTCTCGAACGAGTCCGAACCGAGCGTGTCGAGCGTGTCGGAGGCCCCGGATTGCTCACGGCCATCCACTCGCTGGACGCGCTGCGGTCCTTCGCAAGCCGCGGAGAGCACGGTCTGCCGTCCGTGGACGTGGGACGAGTGCTGGTGGCCGGGCACTCCATGGGAGGCCATGGAGCATGGTACCTTGGTACCACGGAGCCCAGGGTGGGCCCAGAGTGTCCAGTGTCGATAGACACCAAGAGACAAACCTGGGACTGGCATAGAAGTTGCGATGGGTTTGGAGGGGTGAATGTATTTGGCACGGTATAGGCATATTCCAAGCACTATTCCAAACATGGAGTGTTTGTGTGTTTGGTGTTTGGGTAGTATGTCGGTCAGAAAACAGAAAAAAAACAATACGAAGAAGGGTTTTAAAGCATGTCCATCCCTCCAAGAAATGTCGTGGAAATGGTGAAACTACACCTCTTTGAAAACTATACAAAACACAAGGAGACCCGAAGCTAGGTGTGTCCACATGGGTCCACTTACTCCATAAGGATGTGGCGCGAGGATGTTCACACGTAGCTTACCTTGTGCAAACCTGCTGTTTCTTGACACGATGCTTGGATGAACGGCCTGAATTCCTGCTAAATCTTCACCAAATGGCCAACTGCCCACAGACCTCTAGAGTATGGTAGTAAATCGCTTCCCTCCAGCTCCACGTATTCTGTAGGCTCACCGCGCAGTAACCCCCCAAGGCTTTTCGCGTGTCATATGGACGTGCTGGGCGTGATCAGTTCTGCGTCGTGGCTCCGGAAAGATCAGTACTCCGACTCCAATAAGGCATGGACAGTGGCATCCTTCGCGTGAATGGGTGGAAGGGATGGTGGCAATATTGAACACGCTTGTGGGATCTTGAAGTCATTGGATGGAACTACTGAGGTCATCACAGGCGGCGTTTAGAGATGTATAGAGACTTTTGAGGAGGGTTTGCGGCTTTGGATGTGAGTTTTTGTAAGAGAACATTAGCAGCATTGACACAACAGCAACTAGCGCAACTGACTGCAGACCGTCTGACTGAGCCTCAAAACCCATTCGCTTAGGATTTTGAAAGAATTTCCGCATCGAAGCGATGTGAAGTCCTTTTTGTTCCCCAAACAATCCAAAAAACCAGGCAGAAAACCATCATCCAACCATATCCAAGAGATGTCGCGTGACTGCCGTAAGGAGACCCTTCTGAAATCCCAATATGTCTACCTCTTTGCTGTCAGAAGCGGAACAAACACACGTCCAGCTGCAGATGATCGATCTTGGAACCTCAAAAAGGAGTGGCATGACCGGGCACGATACCTGAGGATCTGAGACATGGATCTCTGAGGCTGAAAGAGTCCATGGGAAGAGGATGGAAGAGGACTTCACCACCTGTTTGGTATTGGGATTTCATGGTCTTCCCGAACGCCGTCACGTCACCTACCACGTAATAAGCTACATGGACGTCACCTACAGGCCTCTACAGGCAGAATACCTTCTGAACCGCCAACATCCAACAGAATACCTTCAGAATACCTTCGTGTGTTTCTGTCGCCAGGTCTTCCTCCATGACGTGGCGACAGCCTTTGTGGAACCAACCCTGGCAGCCTTGCTACGGCAGGTGCCACGGCAGCAGCCTATCAACCGCCGAAAGGGTCGCCGATCGGTAAAGGGTGGAAAGAAGAAACCCTCTCATTCCAAAGCAGGTGGGGTTGGTTGCTATGTTTCTTGGGCGAGGTAGGGTAACTACGTACATGTGAAGGTCATTGAAGGTCTATAGTTCAATAGTGCCACTAGTCACCAGCGTTTTGTTAGTAGATCCACTACTCATGAATTTGCCCAACTCTCAAAGGTATCCAAAAGTGCAATACAGTGACTCAACACACTGTGCCCGGTGCCCTAGTGCACATTGCAGGAGCAGACCAAGTCAGGAAGGATCAATACAGATCTTTAAAAAACACACACACACACACATAAAAACACATTTAATCAAGGCATCCAACATGGGATTCACCAAGGCATCCATATGGGATGATTAAGGCATCCTCTCATTTCGTCCATTTCTTCTAGCAGTCGCATAAGATTTGTTCTCAAGGCATCTGCTACATATGGAGTCCTCAACCACTTCGTGTCGACCGTGCCACCTCGGTCGAGGCGGAGTTGGACTTCGATGTGGAGGTGGCGCGAGCGGGGCGGGGCGACCACAGCGAAGGGGCGCGGAGTGGAACAGGGTCTGGCGAAGAGGTGCCAATGGTTGCTTGAAGGAACTGACTTTGGATCTTTTTTGGTTGATGTGGAAGGCTTCTCTGGAGTACGAGTAGAAATAGTTTATAGATATATATGTTTATATAGTAAATATAATATATATAATATATAACTATACAACCAGCAGATTCCACTATGAGTCTCTTGAAAGGCTTACAACTGGTTTATCATGGGAAGTCTTGCACTCCGTACTTGTACGTCACAAGCCTTTCAGGGAGTCGGCTCCCAAGCCTTGGGATCTTCGATCGGCTTGAGCCGGGTAGTCGGCTCCGTCCAATTGGTGGACTGTGGTGCATGGTTCAAAAACTGTGGACGCTGTCGGACACGTGTTTTGCCCGTGTTTCTTGTTTTGTACAACATGGGCATGGTTTAGACCAACTGAATGGACTATGACGCCATGAGGAAAGGAATAGGGAATATGGGAGATGATGTCAGACTTTCCCGGAGTTTTACATTCACCATCTTCCATAACAGTGGTACGTGTCTGGCGCTTCTTGCACGGGGGAGAAGACAAGTCTCGTTCAATTTGGAGGCATTCTCAAAGCCACTGAGTCAGAGGATGAAGAGACAAGGGCCTCCCTATCCTGACACACATTTGGTGACCTTAAAATACGACTGAGCAGCAGCCGGCCAACAAATCAGTCAACCAACACCAACCACTGAAGCAACTAGCCAACCAACATTCTTCGTGTTTTGGTTCACACATGTTTCTAAGATTCCGGATTTGTTCAGGCACAAGCAGCTAGCCTGGTGCACTTACCCGTGCTCATCCGCGTGGGCAGCCGTGACAGGAGATAGGGGGAAAGCCTGGTGCATCCCGATGTGAACACTGGAACACCCTGTTTACGATGTTGAAGGACAGGGCTCCTGCTGGTTTGAGAAGCACTTGGAAGTAGGGAATCCCTGATGACTCATCAAAGTTCACCTTCCCAAAGTTCACCTTCTGAGGCGCTTGGTTACTATATAGCAGTAATGGCCTCCAACCTAATAGCGATGGCCTCCAACCTACTAGCGATGGCTTCCAGAAGCACTTGGAAGTAGGGAATCTTGACAGAGGACCCCTGATGACTCATCAAAGTTCACCTGAGGTGCGTGCGCAGCTCGCTCATGCACGCGCTTTATTTATCGGATATAGCAAGACAGAAGACTTTAAAGGGGGGGAGAGATCTGGCAATCTCATAATCCGGGCACCGCATGCGAAGCTGCATAGCTCTTCAGTTCCCCAGCTATGATACAATTTGTTATTTCCTGCAAGAACAGCCCCAGACCCTGGTCATCTCGATGTTCCTGGAGCTCAATCCCCAACCACACACTATCCCTATCCTTTTCTCATGCCCTTTCCCAACCTCTTGCCGCGCCCCGTGTGTGGCGCGCGCGTTTCGCAGGACGTCGCATCCCTGGTTTAGCCGCCGGATCTACCGGACCCTACGATCCTTAGGCGCTCAGGACGTGACCCTCTCGGAGATCCCTGACAAGGCGTGGCCAAGAGGGTGGGAGGCCTCCTGGTTGAGTCAAGGAGACTTCTCTTCCAGAGATGTGAAGAACCCCCTTTTTTTTTGAGGTCAACCAGTCCCTACCACCTTCCGTTCGAGGTGTCGAACAAACATATTCTCTTAGTGGTTAAGGAGTGTCCAGAAATCATTTGTTGGAAGGTGCTGGTAGTAGTGCTCCTGTTTTTGTTTTGTCTTTTCTGGGTTTTGAGGGCTCGAAGCGAACAGGGTTTCGTAGGTCGGGCCCCAGAACTCAAAGAGTTCGCGCGTTTTTCATTAGGTCTCGGCGCTCGCAGCCATTGTTGGAGTTAGGTTGGTGGTGGGGACGCCAACTTCTGCATTGGTTAAGGAGGCACGAAAAGGCCAAAAAGCCCAAGCTGGCATCGACGCCTTAGAGGCTAGGAGGCTGCTACGGGAGAATAAGGTGATCACCCACCAATCACAAGATACTCTGCATCGTATCATACGAGCAAGGATATTGCTTGCTGCACATCACTCGTGGGTTCCTGCAAAGCAACCACGCCGGCAGAGATCATCTATGGGATGGCAAGGCAAAGGCAAGCAAGCGAACTGGCAGGCATGGAATGTATGGCCACCTGCCAAGAAGAAGGAGAAGAAGGAAGGCAAGGGAAAAAGCTCGGATCCCAAAGAGCCAGAGTTTCCTGCCTACGAATCTCTGCGGTCTACTACGTCTTCCTCCTCGGCGTCTGCTGGTGGGAAGACAGACCAATGGAAGCAAGGCATTTTGGACTTCCTGCAGTCCAAGGACATCGAGCCCGAGGGACAGCTGAAGGAGCTTCTGGAAGGTGGGCCTTTGGACGATCTAAAGACAGAGCAGAGAACCCTCAATACAAGGAAGAAGTTGTTGGCCAAGTTGGAAAAGTTGAAATCCAAAGTGGCCGAAAAGAAGGAAGCCTGGGAGGTGTTTCTTGTGAAGTTCAAGGAGCATCGAGACAAACAAGAAGAAACTTTCAAGACCGACATCAAGACCTTAGAACAGGCAATTGCGGAAACCCAGGCCGACTTGAACAAGATTACTACAAGAGATCAGGAGGGCATGGATATTTCGACAAGAGAAGACAAGGCGACTTCAGCAGGACTGAGGCGCCAACTCGCGGAATCACAAGCCCAGATCCTGTATCTTCAACAGAAGATGGAAGCCTATGCGGTTGGTGCCGGACATACGCTTGGAGAATTTCCTTTCAACGACAAGTCCCCGCAGACGAACAGGCCGCCACCAACGGCTCTGACGCTGGGAGAAGATGGATCAGACAAGTTGGCACTAGCGAGGATGACCAGAATGCAGGCTATCGAAACGGCCCGACGCAGAATAGAGGGAGAAGAGATTCCCTCGAGAACGCCATCCAGGGAGAGAAGCCCGAGGAGGGACACATCAAACTTCCTGGAGCGGATGGGTTGACAAGGCACAGAGCAGGTGGGCGTGCTTGTTATAAGTCCAGGAGTGACAGTAGAGCTGCCCGAGAGTTTTTCCGATATAGTAATCAAGAAGGTGAAGGAGGCGCCACTTTTCAATGGGCGACTCTTCTCTTTTTCGTGATTGAGGAAATTCTGGAATGCACTTGGTTAAGAGGATACACAGAGTCATGCCATTTGTCAGCATGCAATCCACTTTTGATCGCATCCAGTTTGCCGCCAGCCAGAAGTGAGGAATTGATCGAACTTTCAGATCCTGAGGCACAGTCCAAATCTTGTGGATGGACTGGTTTTTCCTTCGGCTTTAGGAGCGCGAGTTCAGATCTTTTCTTCAACGAGATCGTTGCTGATTCTGTGAACTCAATCGTTTTGGGAGCTTGTTTCGGAATCACATTTCGAGTGTGGACTGAGCTAATTCTGCGGACTTCCCTTAAAGGGTATTGGCGTAGATTGCGACTGTCTTGGTGGAGCTTTCAACTCATGGCCCTTTGGGGGGCTCCATGCAATTGTTATGCTTCGATTAATTCACTTCGAGGGTGCGCATATCCGACTTGAAGTGGTAAGAAGAGTCGTTTGGCTCCCTATTGCCCTTGTTGCCCTTGTCACGGCCGGCCGTTTGTCGGTGTCGTGTAGAATCGACCGAATAGGCAGATGCAGAAGGGTGAAGAGCATTCGTAAACCAGTTTCTCGAGTCAGTGAGCCAGGAATCAGGTGGAAATACCTGGTTTTGTGTTTTAGCTTAGCTTTTTCGCATGTCTCGGCTGTTTCTCAGAAGTTGGGTTACGACTTGACTGATCTTGGTCCTGAGAATCCTTCCAAGGGATGGTCTTGAGCCGAACCCGGGAGGGGCACATGATATAGGAGGCCTTTCAGAAGTCGTCTCGTTCGTTCAGCATGAGAGGTCAATCATTTTCGACCAAGAAGATGTTAAACATCAAGTGCATGGATCATATAGATCCACTCGACTTGATTCTTCGCATCCTGTGACACGAGCACTTGAATCTACGGCTGCTCGTGAATTGGGACGTGATAGAGGTGGCTGTGCCCTACCAGAGGCTGAGCAGTCATCCGCTTCGAGTGGAAGTTCCCCTTCTAGGCCTTGTGAGGGGCGCTCCCAGATCCTGTCCCTTGCTTGGGACGCAGAAGGCCTCAGTCAGGATGTTGCTCCTCTGTTTGCCAACGGGTCATGCGGACTTAGAGGCGATGAGTTGAGCGACGACCGACAAACAGTTTTGGGCGATTTTGGTTCCGGATCACATGCACAAGACAGTAGTGATTCTGAAACAGCTCTCAGGACAAACGATATTGAGGACAAGATCCGTAGTTTTGTTTTCCTGTCCGAACCGAGGAATGCTAAAGTTTGGTTTGCACCCCACAATTCCTGCTGTGGGGAGGCTAGGGATACTCTGATACCGAAGGAAGCGTTTGGTAATCTACGAGATCTCCTATGTAGCATTTGGTTGGAACAGTTTGTTTTGTCCTCTTGTTCGTTTGAGCTAGTGAGACCACAGCCTACTGAGCACTTTCGAGATGAGACTTTCCATTTTATCGTGTTTGCGACGTCGGGGGCTACACCTGTCCTTGTGCGTCAAATTACACAGAGTCGACGGGGTGCCAGCCGGATTGATTTCTGTGCATGTGCGCCCCCTTTTCGGTCTATCAAGTATCGCAAACTGGCGCAGATACAGGCACGACCCTTGAGGAGAGGAGATCTAGTTAGCACAGCTGGCAATTCGAGAGAAGATTTTTGTGATACTTTTTCCACTGAAGTTTCTCGCGATAAGGGAACTAATGCAGATTCGATTGTTTTCCAGCGTCAAGGTGAGAGCAGTTCCACTGGAGGATCCTTCTGGAATGATCACTCTCACATTGAAAGGGAGAACACTGCAACCCTTACGACTTACACAGGTGGAGAGTTTCACGATGAAGATGAGGAAGTTGGTCTTCTTCAAGAACTGGGTGTGAGAGAGTTCAGTTACATTGGTCGGAAAAATGCTGAAAGCTTTCACGGTTTCATACCTCGAGTAGAGTCACCCCAGGCCCTGTGCAATGTGTCTCATGGGTCTGCTGGGAGTTCTTCAGACAGGATGAGACACTGGACATCCCGTACATCCACCAGGCGGGGAGAGAACACTGCAACTCCTCAGGATCAATGTCCCGTTGGGCATAATCTGTGGTGGCTCCAGGCAGATACTTCCGCAGACAACAATTTGCTGTATGAAGGTATTTCTCTGGATGTGGGATTTGACGATAGTCTCCAACAAGATGGTATTGCTCCACTTGAGCAAGAGGACGTGGTTGCAATGATGCAATTGGCTGACATACAGGCTCCCAGTACTTACGCAAAGTATGCTGAGGCCGTGTCACAGCATTTGCCCATCCACGACATCGCTAGCTTTGCTGCACACAACTTTATCAAGAAAGATGATCTCCAAACTTGGGTACGCAGCCTACACTTTTATGTTGAAGCTGAAGCGACCGTCCTAGCGGTGTGGCGGATACGACCGCTGAAAGCTACAACTGCAGAATGTGAACGATTGCTGTTGAGAGAGGGAAATTGGGCTCGTGCCTTAGAGTTCTGGCGGGTTTCTGAGGTTTTCAAGACCCCTAGACTCGCTGCTGTTGAGCCGCAACCACTTAGTATCTCTCATGCTGATTATCAACAAATACATGTTCTTGCTGTGGAAAATCATATGCTCCCGGCAGATCATGTGGTGCACTTATTTGATGTTTGGAGCACCACCGACCCCAGTTTTGGAACAGGTTATACCTTTGTGACACGTCTTGCTGCGGAAGTTCATAGGGATGTTCCGGTCATGCAATTGCCAGATGTGCTCGGTATTACACTTAGGCAGCGAATCACCCAAGTTTTTGCTGCTTTTGCATATTGTGAGGGGTGCCCGCGCGCTATATTTCGAGGAAAACAACTCCTCTCTTTTCCTGATTTTTCTCGAATCGACCTGACTCTCGTGGTTGAAACTGAGTCGTGCATAACGACTTTTGGAGATTCGACTGGACCTGACAGGGGAGGAGGGGATAATCCTGCTGGTCACTCTGCTGACCAAAGGGTTGCCTCGACAACTGACACAATGGAGGACTTGAGCCTTATGCAAACAGAACAAAGATCTCGTACTGCTGCAGAGAGAGAGCAAGAGAGATGTTTCGAGCCTGTCATAACGCCCATTCGGCTTTACCGAGGGCTGGAGTCCTCATGGCGGGTCTGGAATCATTTCGTTAGAAATAGAGCCTGGACTCATGCCAGGATGGATGAGATATCTGTTTGGGTCCTACCTGAGAGAGTTTTTGTCCAGTCTATTCCGATAACTTTGTTCTCTTCTAGAAGAGGCAGTGTCACATGGAACAATCCGCTGGGACTCTGGAATAGCTTGGGAGGCGTCAATGACCCGGTGGTTATTATGGTGTTCCCGGTTCCAGCCAAGGTGGTACTGCCAGAGGACCACCTTATCATGATGCCGTTCGAGTCTTACGACATTGACCAAAGGGCATTCCTTGTGGATGTGATGGACAACCACGCTCGTGTTCCCTTACTTG